TTGCACTACAAGATTTATTTCCCTCATTTATCAGGGCATTGAAGATAAACTCCATTATTTACATTACAGGTGCCTGCTGAGGTGAAAATATTGCTGTTGTTAGATTTCATAGTATTCATTTTTAATTACATGGGAAATTAAAATAAAAAGCTAAACTTGCAAATCCATCTCTTCAGCCACCTATTGAATATTTGATAACAGCATGGGTGAATTTATATCAGTAACATGTAAATAATGGAAGTATTTGTAATTATTTGCAATAAATTATCCAAAACATGATAAAATTATAAATACCATCAGTATTCACCCAAGCTCTAAAAGCATTATAGAGATTAAAAAGTCCAAAAGTCTTCCCAACCTTCATTCCTCTCCTCTGGGAGCAGCAGGGTATTTTAATTTGTGTATCCTCACTCCCCAGGTGGGATCCAGAGGTGCTGGTGGCTGACTGGGAGCCTCTGGAATATTTGGAATATTTTCATTTATCCCCACTTTTCCAGGCTTGGAGCTCCACTCAAACTTGGAGTTGCAGATGGAGAGTGAAACCTGCAGGGCAGGACTGTGAGGAGTCCCAGAAGAGCCTTTCCAGAATTCCCCTGCTGGGATTATTCCCATTTTCCAGGAGGATCCCCGAGATGGGAACACTTTGGGATCTGAAACCAAATCCTCTGCCCCTGACCTTGTTCTGTGCTCAGAACTTTGTGATTGATTTTAATTTTCAGCTTGGGGATGTGGAGGGGCACCGGCAGCTGCTGGAATTAACAGAATGAACAGAAATTCCCTTTTCCTTGCTTTTCCAGGATTTTCTCGTATTTATTTGTGATTCTTTCCTCGTTGCATGAAAGAAATCCCAGGCAGTTTTCAGGGAGCTTGGGTTCTTAACGAGCAGTTATTTGAATGTATTCATTTTACTAATTATTTGAGTAGCAAGCCTTGAGTTTTTAAAATTCAAATTTTAGCGTGAATTTTGAACTGTTAACAAAAAAAAAACAAAAAAACATTCCCTTGAGAAGCCAAAGTGTTTGGAGACTTTTTGGCACCTTAAAGAACTTTTGAAATAATTAAGGGGTTAATGAGGTGATTTGTAGCTCGCGGGCAGCGCTGCCACTAAATCTAAAGCCGAATCATTAAATCGCTGTTAAGGTCTCTTTCTTTCTAAGCTTTTATTTGCTTTTCTTATCAACACGAGGGCTGTGAGTGGGGAGAAATGTCCCTTTGAAGGCACCAGTCCCGCTGGGATGGCAGCAGGACCCGCAGCTCTTTGACTTGCTGTTTAATTCCAGCTGCAGAGACAAGCCACAGCAGCGCTTGGGGAGCCTCTTCTTCTTCTGCTTCCTCTCTGGGAAGTTCCACACATCCAAAATCCTGACACCAACCCCAAATCCTGCACCAGGGCTGCGTGCTCCAGGTGAAGATTCCAGGGAATTTCACCCCTGTGCAAGCAAACTCAGCTTGGCACAAAGGGATTTCCCAAAAGTGCAGCCTCTAAAACTCCCACTAAATCCTGCCTGCAGAACTGAAGGCCCAATTAAGCTTTAATAATACTTTGCTAATTTTAATCTGTGCTGGTTTTGCTGCTCATTAGAGGAGGTGCTAAAGAGGAAGGGTTTTTTTTTTAAAGGGTAAAAAATGAAATTATAAGAAAGCTCGGTGTGGAAACTGCAAGGCAGTGCAAAAGCTGTTATCACCAAATCTTTGCTTCCTGCAGTCATCAGATATCTGGGGTTTTATCAAACGGACACTCCACCCTTTTATTATCGTTCTGGCAGTCCACATTTCATCTGTTAAAAAAGGCATTTTAAGAGAAACCTTTACTGTGGACTTGGGTTGATTTATGGTGCCAAAACTGCCAAACTGCCCAGTAAGTTCTGCCCACAAATTTGGAATTCACTCTGAATTTTTCAGGGGAGAATTTCAATAACTTCAAGTGTTGAATTCTTAATAAATGTTTCATTTAATTCCCACCTGCATATTAGAAAATCTGTAGGAAAAGTGGATTTGTATTTAGGGTTTTGCTTCCCTCTTTATTTATTGTTTTTTTTAATGTAGAACTTGAATCTCTCCCTACAAACACAGCTAAGTGTCCAACAAGTGGTAACCCAAATGGAAAAACTGATGTGTTTCATATAAATGTTCACATAAATTGTGATTTTTTTTTTGTGATTACATTGGATTTTAAAGCAAAAAAAAAAAAAGAAGATTTAAAGTTGAGTAAGAGAAAGGCTGGTGGAAGGAAAATTACAGATTCCATTTGGATCTGGTGTTTGGGGAACATTCCTTCAGAACATTTCTTCAGGACAAGAAAACCAACTAGAAATAAAGTGGTTTAACAAGCAAAAGCTGTTTTCTTACCAAAAGCTTCCTTGGGAAGGAGCAGGGATATTTAGCAATATTTTCAGCTGTCAGGGAGCTGCTCTTGGCCACAGCACAGAGAAGTGGAAAAGCTGCAGTGTAGAGTCACCGAGTCCTCGTGGTTCATGAAATTAATAAATCTGGTGAGCACTCAGTAATTCCTTATCATCCTCCCCTGTCTAAATTCATCCAGAATCCAAATTGCACTAATTGAATCCAGCCCCAGGAGATAACCCTGGGGCTGCCCTGAGACTTGTTAACATTTCCAGAGTAATTGGAATTTTTCTGGTAAGAAAAGGCTTTTCCTTTTTTGTTATTTTCTTTTAAAATCAAACCTCTCTCAAAGCCTCATCCTCACTTGTGCCATGTACCTGCTCCACCTCGAAGGGTGGATGGAGAGGAAAATGAAATAATTTGATTTTAGTCACAGCATCTGTTTTCCTAAAGGATGGGGAGGCCCTGGCACAGCCTGCCCAGAGAAATTGTGGATTTCCCATCCCTGGAAGTGTCCAAGGCCAGGCTGGAGCAGCCTGGGATACTGAAAGGTGTGGGGTGGAATGAAATAATATTTAAGGTCCCTTCCCAAACTTTTATTCTGGATTTTGGTGCTGCTTCCCACTGTGCACTGAGGTATCTCAGAGAAATTCGCAGGTTTTTTTTTTTGCTGAGAAGGAAAAAACCGGAGCTGATTTTGCTCCTGATTTCCTGCTGGAATGACAGCAAGCTCCTAAGACTCAACCCAACTTTTCTTCCAGCTAAAAAGCCAGAGCTGGGGAGGCTCAGGACACAAATCCTGCTCTGCTTCCTCTTGATCTTCCCAGATTGCAAGTGGCAGTTGTTGATGGGCTCCAATAAGCGCGGAGCCTGGGGGCCGCTCTCTGCTGCGAGGCAGGAGCTGAGCAGAGCAGGCAGCCCAGCTCTCCCCGCTGCGCTGACGGGAGGGAGCAGCGAGCAGCAATCCCTGCTCTCATTTCTGGCACACATCTCCAGCAGTGTTTATCCTTGCTCAAAGGAATGGTGCAGCCAAAGCGTTGAACAGCCCGGGCTCCCCGGCTCTTGGGTCGCTTCATTTCCATGCAAGTGTAGCGGAAAGACAAATGCTGCTGACCTCCCTGTGCTGTGCTGCTTTGAGGTGGGAATATCCTGAGGAAAAAAAAACCCCAAATCCTAAAAAAAACACAAAGCCACCCCCTCCTCCCTGGGTGCCTTTTGGAGGTTCTTGAAAGGAAACCAACACCTGTTGAAATAGTTACTTCAATGTTTGGCCCAAATCCCAAACAACTTTCTTTTTTTTTTTTTTTTTTAACAACAAAAACATATGCAGGGGCCAGGGAAAAAGCACAGCTAGTTCTGATATTGTGCTTTTTGTGCTCTGAGTTGGAGGGGCTGTGACTCATTAAGTGATACTAACACAGGGTTTCTCTAATTTCATGTCTTGCTTCAGGAATTGCGTGGCAAAATATTGCACAAGAAAAGCAAAGGGGCCTTTCCTTCTCCTTACATGGGACCTTTCCAAGCCATTTGATAGAGAAAACTGGAAATATTTTATAAATCTTCAGCCTGAGGAGATTATCTGCCCTTTTCAGTCACTTTGTGGGTGCTGTCTTGCCCTGAGAACTGAGGTTTTGGGAGCTGTTATTCAAAGGCTGGCCACGACCCTGGAGCTGTTTTCCACCTCAGTGATCCTGGGGTTCTGTGGGGAGGCTTCATCTCCAGAGCCAGCTCCTAACTCAGGGTTTGGTCCCTCAGCTCAAAGCACAGAGATTTTAACTGTGCTGTTGGAAATTGCTGGCTTCTGGGGGAAATTCTGTGAATAAAAGATCTTTGAGTTTTCTAGGAATTGTTTGAATGTCAGGAAAATGCGTGAGCTGTCCTCAGGGTGAGTTTGTACTCAGGGACTATTATAATACAAAATTCCTCCCTGGAAGAGTGGGAGGCTCTGGAATGGAATTCCCAGAGCAGCTGTGGCTGCCCCTGGATCCCTGGCAGTGCCCAAGGCCAGGCTGGAGCAGCCTGGGATGGTGGGAGGGGTCCCTGCCATGGCAGGGGTGGGATGAGATGATCCTTAAGGTCACTTCCAACCCAAATCATTCTGGAATTCTGTGATCCTCCATGTGTTGGCATGGAGTAAACAGGCTGGGCCTTTTCTCTGCATCCTGTCTGGGTGCTGGCAGCGTGGTGTGGGCACCTGGAGCATCCCTGAGCATCCTTGGGCACTCCTGAACACCCTGCACACCCTAAGCATCCCTCAGCATTCCTCAGCTAAACATCCAGCAGTGTCTCCAGCTCTGGGCAAACCCCTGGAATATTTCACTGGAGAGGGATACCTGGAATTCAGTGGAGCTCTGCAGACCATCCATGTCCCACGGGGAATTCTTGGTGGTGCTTTGGTTATTCCCTGGCTGAAGGGGTTTTCTGTGAAAACCTCTCTGTCCTTTGTTTGAGAACCTGGCTCTGCCTTTTCCTTGGAAATCTCTCCCTGCCCTTTCTCCAGGGCTTTTACTGCTGCAAGAAACTTGTGGAGAAGGTCGACCCTCCTTTGTAAAAGTTGGATTGATGCCTTTTAATGATTTCCATTCTCAGTCATCACAGTGTCAAGTTGTGCTGGTTGTAACAGTTGAAATTGTATTTTCCTCCTTCTTTTCTTTCAGCTACAGCTGCAGAAAACCCAATATTTGCAACTGGGGCAGAGTCGTGGCCAGTACTATGGGGGGTCATTGCCAAATGTGAATCAGATTGGGAACAGTGCCATGGATCTCCCCTTCCAGGTGAGTTCAGAGGCTTTTTCCTTGGATTTGGTGATGAATTCTGGCCTTGGATGCTGGTGTGTCCTCCCAGGCAGCTGCTGGTCCAGAAGTCAACACCCTGGTTTAAAAACTGCTGGTGGGGTTGGGATGTGTGGGGATTTTGATGTTGATTGTGGTAGATTTTAGTTCTCCTGTCCCTGGTTGTGAGGCTTTGGGGACAGGAATACTCTGAGAGATGCAACTCCTGATGAAATCTGGGAAGATGCTGTAAATTCAGAGCAAAATGGGAGGGAATAAAGATGATGTTGGGGCTGGGGGATGGAGGAATCGATGTGCATGTTCTGGGGGAGGAATTTTGGGAGAGGAGAAGAGCAGTGGGACACAAAATGGTATCAGAATAATCACTTTTTTTGGGCTGGCTGGAAAGGAAATGTGAGAATGTCCTGGCTGGGTTTTGTCACTCCAGGAATGATGCACCTTAAACAGAAAATCAGAGTTTCAGGTGAATATTTTGCTGTTTGAAGCCTGTTTGGATAGAGGATCTTGTCCAAGGACAGGATTACTTGGTGGGTCCTGTGTGGACTCCTGATTTCCACGTTTAGTTGATTTAGAGTGCTCAAAATAATGAACATTTCTGCATTAGTTTTCCTTTTTTGAGCAGTCAGAGTTACAGTTGAGCTCACGAGGATGTGGTGGGAAGGAAATTTTGCAGTTTGTGGTTTTCTGAAGAAGGCTGCTTAATAAAGATGGAGAAACTCTTGCTGACCTCCTCTAACTGCTTCTTGAAATGGGTGCAGACAGCTGAATTTGGGCAGGTTAAAAACTTGAATCTCGTGCAAGAGGAGAGGCAAAAGTTAATTTTAATCTTTAATTCTTCAGGGAATACAGAGCAGAGGTTTGTAGTGGATTGAAGTCCCCAGTGTCACTCCACAATGTCTGCTCTGTTCAAGCTTTTCTCTTCAGCTTTTTGTTAAGAGGTTAAGAATTCCTTCTAAACAATAATATTTCAGTATTTTTGTGCTTGATGGCCATCACTGGTGATTTTTACCTGGACTATTTTAATCCTGACTGCTGAAAAGGGAACATTCAAAAATTTATGAATGACTGGAGGAGGAGACAGAAACAAACTCTCCTTAAACCCTGGGGTTTTCTAGATAATTTCACACATACTCTAAAAAAAAAAAAAAACAAACAAACCCAAATTGATGTTGTTCCAGATAACAAACGGTGACAAGCAACAAAACAACCCCATGTGTTTGTAGCAGGGGGGAAAATCTTCCCAGGTTTTTCCAGTGTGAAGCTGAAAGCACGACTGCAGACGACTCTGGGATGGTGTGAAGGCAGAGCCTGGGTGGTTGTGCCTGCTGAGAGCGTTGGTGTCTGAGCATCTTCTGCTTCTTTGATTTGCAGCACAACGGAGCTCTGGCTGAAGCCTTTGGAGCAGTTCCTGTCTCTTTGGTAAACAAGTTTTTAGGTTTGTGCAAATACGTATTTAGGACTGGTCCTGTTAGCCCAGGTGGATACGTATTTCTGCACAGCTGCTCTGCCCTGCACAGGAGTTATTTGGTTCACCCCCAGGACTGCAGGGCTGCCACACAAATCCCAGGTTTTGCCATGCATCCCAGTCTGGAACGTGCAAATAATTCCTGTGCAGGCTCCCTGGACTTGCTGTCATGTGGTTATTTCTGGTTTTTCGGGGGTTTCTTTGGTGCAGCCAGTGGATTATTCAGTCTTGGCCTGTGGTTTCAGCAATCTCTGAGCATGTGCACTCAGCCTGCATGTTTAAATCCATGGGGAAGGGCAGAATGAATTCCCAAATCCTGCTTGGCACCAGGAGGCACCAAAATATCAACCAGCAGTAGGTACCACTCCTCCTTCCCCATCATCCACCTCACCTGGGTTGATTTCCTGAGAAATCCTAAAAGGACACTTGGAGAGCACTGAGCTTTTTCCTTCCTGTCTGTATTGAGCTGCTTTTTTCATGGTTTGGGGGGGTTTTGGGTCTGGTCTCAAGCCCTTGAATGTTTTTCAGGGCAGTGAAACCCTTTTAGTTCTTAATTTTCCCAAATACAATCAATGCTCAGATCTATTAATTATTTTTAATCGATTTTTTTTTCCCTAGAGTTAAATATCTCATGCCATGCAGAGATGGGGAATTTTAATCCAGCAACATTGTCCTGGTGTTTGGCCCTAAATAAATTTTATAGGAAGGTTGCTGAGAGAAGCCAGACCTGTTGGAGGTGAAATCCATTTCCTCAGGTGTTTTCTGTTTCTCTAAATTCAGGATTCTTTTGGGATCTTGGTTCCTGGAAAGCCAGGGAACAGCATTGCCCAAAATCCCTATTTCTGTAAACTGTAGCCCTGATTTGGGACACATTCCACGTTCGTTCGTGCCACTGCTGCACTCAGAGGAGATTTTTATTGTGTTTTTGATAAGGAAATTGTGCCAATAAAAGGTAAAACCCTTAGAAATAGCTGGTTTTTTTTTACATGGAACTTTTTGTCTTTATAATTTTATGCTTTGGCCTCCCTTTAAATTCCAGGTGAGCCCTGTGCTCAGGGCTGGCTGCTCCTTTTTTAGCAGCACTGTGCTGACACCACTGACATAGGAAATTGCTTTTCCTGTTGACCTTCCAAGCACGTATTTGCAAATTTTGCTGCCTTTTGGGCTGTAACAAGAGAAAAAAGGAAGAGTTTGAGACCTTTTGTCGCTTTGGAATGATGAATATTCCCACTTGTGTGTGGGGATTGTTGCTCAGTGCTTGCAGCAGAGATTAAAGCACCGTGTTTGAATTTAAAACCCTTAAAATTGAGATTCTATTTGAGATTTCTCAGCCAAGTGAGGAAGTGAAGCACAAACCCCACGACCTGAAGTGCTGAGAGTCCTGTAAAAAGTCACTGTGCTCCTTTCTAGTCCCCTGTTGCCTTAAATATTCTGCTGCATATAAAATGTTGGCCCTGAAATGAGAAAATAAACACCACAGCCCCTCTGCAGCTCTGTTAACACAGCCTGTGTGTGCAGAGAGGGCGAGGAGCCCAATATTTGCTGAAGAGAAAAGGGTTTAAAATAGTAGAAAGACTCTTTAAAAAGTTCATACAAACAAAGCCTTTCAAAATAAATGCAAAGCTTTATAGAAATAATCTTTTCAACAGCCAAAGCTGACACTTGGAAGAAAAAAAAAAAAAAGAGAAGCAAAAAGCAAAAGAAAAAGGGATGAATGTGGAAGCCAGATGGTTTCATGGCTTGGCAGACAGGACAGTGCATTTGCCACGTGCAGCACCTGAATGGAGGAGGAAATTTTGGATTTCCAAACAGATGGTGTTGAGGGACTCAGCAAAGCTGTTCACATTGGCAGGGAGTGCAAGGCTGGGGAGGGTTTTTCTCCCTGGAGACCCATAAATTGCTGGTGGAGTACGAGCAGAGATTGACCCCTCGGTACTTCCTTTGTCCCCCCGGCACACACTGGGAAGGGCTGTGGAAAATGTGAAAGTTTTCCAGTTTAGCCTGGGAATTCATCTTCCCTGTCCTTCCCCTGCCATCCTCCCGCTCTGAAATCATCTGCTCAGGATGTCAGTGAGATAAGAGTCCAGGTGGGATCATCCCACCTCGGGTCACTGAAGGAGCTGAAAATCACTTCAAACCCACCCGACAGAGGAGGAAGGAAACTGCTTTTCTTTTTCTTTTCATTCTCTCAGTGTCCCCTTAAAATAAATCTGCTGCAGGGAGGGGTGAGAGGCAGCCCTGGGAGCAGGCAGCGTGTCCTGGGGAATGCTGAGCTCAGCGTGCAGCTCCTCCTGCATCTCCTGCCCCGGGTCAGGCTCTGGATGTCGGCATGTTCCTCCTGTGCACCCTGCATGCTGCACCAAGGGCATGTGGACGGCGCCTGGCAGCTCCTGCCACGCTCAGCCCCGGGGCTTCAGGGCTGCCAAGGTGTGAGGGCAGTGCTGGGCCAGGCCAGGGCACTCCAGCATGGCCCCTTCTGGAGGAGGCAGCTTTCCCAAAAAGCTGTCGGAGGAAAAAACAAAACCACACGACGCGCACACCTTGTTTTGAGTCTGATTCCTCAGAGCGAGCCAGCCTGGCACAGGAGGAGGAGGAGGAGGAGGAGGAGGCTCGGGGCAGGCTGGGCAGTTTCCCTGTGGGTAATCCCCGTGTCTCTCCCAGACCCCGTTCCAGTCGTCAGCCCTGGACACGAGCAGGACCACGCGGCACCACGGGCTGGTGGACAGAGTGTACCGGGACCGGAACCGCCTGGGCTCGCCCCACCGCCGCCCGCTCTCCGTGGACAAGCACGGCCGGCAGATATCCTTGGGAGCAGGGCTGCCACACCCCCTCCCTTCTGCTCCCTGAGGCTGCCACACCACCCCATCCCTTCTGCTCCCCCCTCTGTGGGTGCCACACCTCTCCATTCCCTCTGCTCCCCCCTCTGTGGGTGCCACACCTCTCCATTCCCTCTGCTCCCCCCTCTGTGGGTGCCACACCTCTCCATTCCCTCTGCTCCCCCCTCTGTGGGTGCCACACCTCTCCATTCCCTCTGCTCCCCCCTCTGTGGGTGCCACACCTCTCCATTCCCTCTGCTCCCCCCTCTGTGGGTGCCACACCTCTCCATTCCCTCTGCTCCCCCCTCTGTGGGTGCCACACCTCTCCATTCCCTCTGCTCCCCCCTCTGTGGGTGCCACACCTCTCCATTCCCTCTGCTCCCCCCTCTGTGGGTGCCACACCTCTCCATTCCCTCTGCTCCCCCCTCTGTGGGTGCCACACCACCCCCCCCCATCCCACCCCACCCCACCCCACCCCATCCCATCCCTTCTCTTCCCTCCCCTGTGGGTGCCACACCACCTCAGGTCCCTTCTCCTCCTCCCTGGCTGTGGAGTCACTTCCCAGCTCTGTGTCCCTGCTTTCCCCAAGCTCTGATCCATTCCATAAACACCTCCTGTTGGTAAAGTAAGAGTTCCCCTTTCCTCAGCTCTCCATGGGGATGATGATCCACATGGAGCTCAGGGATGCAAGGATGGACTGGGACACCCAGCAGGGCTTCCCTCAGGGCAGAGGTGCCCTGGGACTTTGGTGGCCTTCTCTGTGTGAGGCATCTGGCTCTGTCCCGTGGCACATCCAGTGTCTAAACTGGATTTGATGGATGGGTCAGTGGATCAGGAGTTGGCTGGATGGATGTGTCCAAAGGGCTCTGGTCACCAGCTCAAGTGGACAGCAGTGACAAGTGGTGTCCTCAGATCTGGTCTGGGGATATTTAAGGGTGACATGAACAGTGGGATTGGGTGCACCCTCACTGCCAGCTCTGGGTCCTCCCATTCCAACCCAAACCACTGCACAATTCCCTGGAAGGTCAGGGCTGTCCTGGGGAAGTGGAGTTTCCCTTCAGAGCTGAGCAAGCCCAGCCCAGGGTTCTCCTTTGCAGCTCCTCGTGCATTTCAGTGCAGGTTGATCATCCTGTTGGCACTTGGGGAGGGGATGAGCTGAGCATTTCTGACAGTTTGAAATCAGCTGGCAGTGGTGGGGCTGAGGGGATGTGTGACAGCAGGGTGGAGGCACCAGGAGTTAAATCCATGGAAAAGGAGGAAGGATTTTTACTGCTCAAACATCCCAACAATCCAAATAACACTTTGGGTTGAGATCCTTTTACACTTCCCCGTAGAGAATCTGTGAGTTTAGTGATTCTGAAAGGATAATTGGGATTATTCCTGGGAAAAGATTTCCTGCTGGAGTGGAAGTGTTGCTGCCTTAACCCTGGCCCACGTGGACAGCTGTCCCTATGGCACCGTGTACCTGTCACCGCCGTCGGACACCAGCTGGAGGAGGTGGGTGCCACCACCCTGGGGGTTTGGGCTGTCCTCTGACCCTGCAGCAGCTTGGGATTGTGCCTTTAGAAATTCAGAAACTCACTTGTGAGTTCAGTAGTGCTTGTTTTAGGTGAGCTGTAAAATTGAGGTGGCTGCAAGTGATACTTTGATTTAGCGATACCTTTTTGAAGGTAAATCCTTAAAGGTTAATCTTTAAAAATCTTTCAAATTCTTTAAAAATGCAAAAGTTCTCAGGCACAGCCCAAGACCTGGATATTTCTCTGGGTGCAGAAACTGGGCTGGGAATGTGCCAGTGGGAAGGAACACAGAGTTACACTTTGAGGGTGGGCACACTCAAAAGTTCATCCTGAAATGTGTTGGCCATGAAAATTCCCATCTCCACAACATCCTGAACCATTCCTTTTCCTCCTCCCAACCAGGAATGTTTGTTTTAACCACCACAATAACCAAAATAAGGCTAAACAGCTTAAAAATGGCATTATTTGATCATACTTAATCTGAACAAAGCAGATAAAACTCTGTTCTAACAAGGGCAACCAATTTATCCTGTGTTCCTCTCAATCCCATTATTGAAACAATTGCTCTTCAAACTTGAGCTAATTTGTTCTGCAAATTGATTGTTTCACAAGGAAATTCTGCCTGGTTTCTGCCATATAGAGATTTTTGGGTTTTAATGCACAATATTGAGGTTTTACTGAGTTGTTGCTTTTATCTGAGAGGAAAATTCATTTTATTTAGTGAAGCTGACAATAAAAATATTGTGGGTTTTGCTTTCTCTCAGGACAAATTCTGATTCTGCCTTGCACCAGAGCACCATGACTCCAGCTCAGCAGGAATCCTTTTCAGGAGGGTCACAGGACATGCAGCAGAAGAGAGGTGAGAAAAAAAAAATATAAAAAGATTTATATAATGTTTGTAAAATTCAGGAGTGCTGCCACTTCCTGTGACAGCAGTTGGATCGCATTCACCTTTCTGGCTGCTGAAATCCAGGAAAAAATGACACAAAATGAGGGGAGAAGTTTTTCCTGAGCCCCAAATTTTATCATTCCTGCCCTGGGGAGGATCCTCTGTGCTGCTGGGGCTCTGGAGGAGCTCCTGGAGAGTGTGGAATTCCCAGAATTGCAGTAGGGACCTGCAGGGAAGGAGCAGAGGCTGCACCCCGAGGGAGCATCCTGGGGAGAGGCAGATTCCAAAGGATTCCAGAGCAATTCCAGAGGATCCCAGGGCAGTTCCAGAGGATCCCAGAGCAATTCCAGAGGATCCCAGAGCAATTCCAAAGGGTCCCAGAGCAATTCCAGAGGATCCAGAGCAATTCCAGAGGATCCCAGGGCAGTTCCAGAGGATCCCAGAGCAATTCCAGAGGCTCCCAGGGCAGTTCCAGAGGCTCCCAGGGCAGTTCCAGAGGCTCCCAGGGCAGTTCCAGAGGCTCCCAGGGCAGTTCCAGAGGCTCCCAGGGCAGTTCCAGAGGCTCCCAGGGCAGTTCCAGAGGATCCCAGAACAATTCCAAGAACAATTCCAGGGGCTCCCAGGGCAGCTCCAGGCAGGAGCAGCTCTGGCACCCTCAGCTCTGGTGCCCTCTGCTGGGCCCTGCTCCTGCTCCAGCTCGGGAAAACCGGGAATTGTTCATCCTGAAGGGCTCCAAGAACTTCAAATCCCCGATCCCAAAGAAAATCCAAATTTAACCCTTCTACAAACACCCAGAAAACACCTACAAAAACTTCCTGGGAAGTTCCAGCAACCAAAGAAGTTCTCAGCAATTTTTTATTTTAAAAGCACTGTTTCATCCTCCTTGGGAATTTAAGATTTTCCCAGAGGTTAAACTCCCAAGAAACTGAATATTATTGATTATTAATGATTCCTTTTCATCTCTTTTTTTTTAGTTTTATTGCTGACTGTCCCTGGAATGGAAGAAACCACCTCTGATGCAGACAAAACCCTCTCTAAGCAAGGCTGGGACACTAAAAAGGTGGGAATTGCACCTTTCAAAGTGCAGAAATGTTATTTTCTGAATAATAATACATCTAAATTTATTCATATTTAGATAAACGAATGCTTTAGTCACTGTCAATATTAATAAACTTCTTGAGATTGGAGATTAAATGCTGTGTTTAAAATCAAATTCTAAACATTGGAGCATTTCATGTGGGTGTGAATGCACAGGCTTGGTTATATGAGGAGAAACTCTGGAAATTTAAGATTTGTTGGACCAGTAAAGCAAAAAAAATTATAAATATCTTCTAAGAACTCCCAGATCTTACACAGAAATGATTAAATTGAACTGATAAATTGAAATATTTCTGAGGCAATGCCCTCCTGCAGCATTTTTGCCTTTAAATTTCTCTCCTTTCTATTTCAGACTGGGTCATCGAGACCTAAATCCTGTGAAGTTCCAGGAATCAAGTAAGTGCTCAGCAATTTTCTATCCATTTCTTATTTTAAAAGCACTGAGATCTTTAAGAAGAATTGTGGATTGAATATCCTATTGCTTTGGAATTTTCTGGGGAGGTTCTAGGTACAAAAACAAGACCTTCTGAGGGTCAGAAATACTAAAAATATCTTTATGGAATTTCTTGTTAAAGATATTTTTAAAAGCTAAAAAAAATCTTGTTAATTGTTAAATACATTTTAAAAGCCTCAAAAAAGTCTTCATTATGAAATTTTCATGTTAGATACATTTTAAAAAGCTTAAAAAAACTTCTTAATGAAATTTTCTTGCTAAATGCATTTTAAAAAGGTGAAAAATGTCTTCCTAATGAAATTTTCTTGTTAAATACATTTTAAAAATCTCAGAAAACCTTAATAAAATTTTCTTGTTAAATACATTCTTAAATGTGAAGAATATCTTCCTAATAAATTTTTCTTGCTAAATACATTTTAAAAAACTAAAAAAATCTTTATGAAGTCTTGTGAAATAAACTTTAAAAAGCTTTAAAAAAATCTTAATAAATTTTTCTTGCTAAATACATTTTAAAAAACTAAAAAAATCTTTATGAAATCTTGTGAAGTAAATTTAAAAAGCTTTAAAAAATCTTAATAAATTTTTCTTGCTAAATACATTTTTAAAAACTCAAAAAATCTTCTTTATGAAATCTTGTGAAATAAACTTTAAAAAGCTTTAAAAAATCTTAATAAATTTTTCTTGCTAAATACTCTTCTTTATGAATTTTTTTTATCCAACAAATTTGAAAATCTCCAGCAAATCTTAATAAAATTTTCTTCTTAAATACATTTAAAAAATCTCAAAAAAAAAACCAACTTAATAAAATTTTCTCATGAAACAATTTTAAAAACCTCTCCCCAGCCTGAACTATCAATCAATTTTTAAATTTTTTTTTTGTTTTTTCTCTTGAATTCAGCATCTTCCCCTCAGCTGAGCAGGAGAACACTACAGCCCTGATCCCTGCCGCGCACAACACGGGCGGCTCGCTGCCAGACCTGACCAACATCCACTTCCCCTCGCCCCTGCCCACGCCCCTGGACCCCGAGGAATCCTCCTTCCCTGCCCTGAGCAGCTCCAGCAGCACGGGCAACCTGGCTGCCAACCTGACCCACCTGGGCATCAGCACTGCCAGCCAGGGTGAGTGGGGGGCTCTGGGCTTGGGGTGACCCCCAGGTGGTAGAAAATCTCTTTTTATTGCAGCCCAGAGACAGGAGAAGGAGATGAGATGAGTCGGTTCTGCTTTTGCAGGGTTGTTTGTTTTCCTTATGTCTGGCAGGTCCGTTCTGATTTTCAGGGTTTTTTATTTTTCCTTATCCATAACATTCTGTTTCTGACCCACTGAGGTCTGTCTGGCAGGTGGATTCTGCTTTTCAGGGTATTTTATTTTTCCCTATCCATAACATTATTTTTTCTGACCCATCCAGGTCTGTCTGGCAGGTTGATTCTGATTTTCAGGGTTATTTATTTTCCTTATCTGTAACATTCTGACCCATCCAGGTCTGTCTGGCAGGTTGATTCTGATTTTCAGGGTTATTTATTTTCCTTATCTATAACATTCTGACCCATCCAGGTCTGTCTGTCAGATGGATTCTGATTTTCAAGGTTATTTATTTTCCTTATCTATAACATTCTGACCCATCCAGGTCTGTCTGTCAGATGGATTCTGATTTTCAAGGTTATTTATTTTCCTTATCTATAACATTCTGACCCATCCAGGTCTGTCTGTCAGATGGATTCTGATTTTCAAGTTTATTTTTCCCTATCCATAACATTATTTTTTCTGACCCATCCAGGTCTGTCTGGTAGGCTGGTTCTGCTTTTCAGGGTTTTTTATTTTTCCTTATCCATAACATTATTTTTTCTGACCCATCCAGGTCTGTCTGGCAGGTGGATTCTGATTTTCAGGGTTTTTTATTTTTCCTTATCCATAACATTCTTTTCCTGACCCACTGAGGTCTGTCCAGCAGGTCACTTCATGGCACACTGACCACCCCTGGGATGGTGTTAACATTTTATACTAACAACTCCTTTATTTACAATAATTTTCCAATACCCATCACCTCTGGCAGACATTCTGTCTCTACTCTAAACCCATCTAAAAGTGCCACCATCAAATTTAGTTACAGGACCTTTATCTCCTGTTCTTGATGATTTTTGGGGTCTTTTTTATGTGGTTTTTTTTTTTTTAATTTGAAAAAAAAAATAATTTTTAAAATGTTTTTGTCACTTGGAGTTCCTTGTGTTGAAGCCCAGCATCCCTTGTGTTGTGGGAATATTTCCAGGAGCCACTTCCTTAAAATTATGGAATTTAGGGAATTTTGTTCTTTCCCATCAGTTTGGCTTCTCTGCTCCTGTGTATTGCATGTACAAAAAAATAGGGATTTTTTATTTATACACAGGACCTTTATCTCCTGTCCTTGATGCCCAAATCTGCTTTTTTGGGATTTAGTTTTGGGTCTTTTTTATGTTTATTTTTAAATGTTTTCTTTTTATTTATTTTTTAATGTTTTCCTGTGTTGAAGCCCAGCATCCCTTGTGTTGTGGGAATATTTCCAGGAGCCACTTCCTTAAAATTATGGAATTTAGGGAATTTTGTTCTTTCCCATCAGTTTGGCTTCTCTGCTCCTGTGTATTGCATGTACAAAAAAATAGGGATTTTTTATTTATACACAGGACCTTTATCTCCTGTCCTTGATGCCCAAATCTGCTTTTTTGGGATTTAGTTTTGGGTCTTTTTTATGTTTATTTTTAAATGTTTTCTTTTTATTTATTTATTTTTTAATGTTTTCCCCTCTTGAAATTCCCTGTGCTGAACCCCACCATCCCTTGTGTTATGGGAATATCTCATTTTTTATTTCCATTCCTTTAGAACAACATTTGTTTTCATGTGAGGATCCTTTCAGAGTCTATTATTGAATAATATTTTAATTATTAATTGCTATTTTTAAAGTAATTTCATTGATACTCAAATAATTACAAAGAGGGTTGTTTGTTTATATTTTAAATTATCAGTGACAGTTGCAAGTCTGTTGATTCCTAGAATAGAAATGAGGAGTTGTATCCAAAAATACAAATACATTTCCTGTGCTGGGCAGGATTCCCTTTCCCACTTCTCCTGGGTTGGGAAAAGGAAATGTCTGGAATAAGGTGAGTTTGGGAAGCAAGAAGAGGATTTAACCATTTAAAGGATTTGGCCATTTGGGGACAGAGTGGGGCAACACTTTCAGCATCCTTGGAAGAGTTTTTTGGGCTCCAAAGTTTCAGGGATGATTTTAGAAATCAGGATTTTAGCCACAGTGGATCTCTACCTTTTTTTTCCACATAATTAGCAAAGTAAATGATATAAACCCAGAGTGGTGAGTGTGAAACTGCTTTGAAAACATTCCCTGCTCTGTCAAAGACAGAACAAACTCAAGATTTCCTTGGTGGTTTCATTCCAGCTTCTCTCTGAGATGATCCCACACTTCACCCACTGCCCCACTCAGCCTTGGCTGCTTTCCAAACTGATTTTCCCAAGCTCCCCTTCCTGCTAAAAGCTCCCTGAGGGCTCCTGCCCCCTGTGCCCTGCTCAGGAGTGCCCCAGAGCCCCCCGAGGCTGGGGACGAGGGCACGGCAGCGCCTGCCAGGTGCCAGCACCCTGCAGGGTGCCAGGGGGAGCCAGTGCTGGGCTGGGCACCTGCCTGGGCACCCGCCCGGGCACCCGCCTGGGCACCCGCCTGGGCACCTGCCCGGGCACCCGCCTGGGCACCTGCCTGGGCACCCGCCTGCCTGAGCCCCTTTCCTGCTGCCTCCCTGCAGCCTGGCCTTCCTGGCAGCCTGCCTGGAAACTGAGCCTTTGCCAGGTGCCCGGGAGCTGCTGCTCCTTGAGCTGCTGCTCCTGTGAGCTGCTGCTCCTGTGAGTTACTCCTGTGAGTTACTCCTGTGAGTTACTCCTGTGAGTTACTCCTGTGAGTTACTCCTGTGAGTGCTCCTGTGAGTGCTCCTGTGAGTTGCTGCTCCTGTGAGCTGCTGCTCCTGTGCGCTGCTGCTCCTGTGAGTTACTCCTGTGAGTTACTCCTGTGAGTGTTCCTCTGAGTTGCTGCTCCTGTGAGCTGCTGCTCCTGTGAGCTGCTGCTCCTGTGAGCTGCTGCTCCTGTGAGTTGCTCCTGTGAGTTACTCCTCTGAGTTGCTGCTCCTGTGAGTGCTCCTGTGAGCTGCTGCTCCTGTGAGCTGCTGCTCCTGTGAGTTACTCCTGTGAGTGCTCCTGTGAGTTACTCCTGTGAGTTGCTCCTCTGAGTTGCTGCTCCTGTGAGTTGCTGCTCCCTGGCAGCTCCAGGAGCAGCTCACTCTGCCTTGGCCTCACATCCTTCCCTTGTTTCCTCTGAGGTGAAGCAGAAAAAAAGGGAGGTTTCTAAACTCCCAGATTTTTGGCTTGATCTGAACAAAATGATAATATTTGGGTTGTTTATCCTCACCCCGTGCCAGGTCGTGGCTCCTGGGAGTGTGGTGGACATTTCCTGCCCTGCTGTGCCATTAAAAATGGGGCTCTTCCTGCATAACCAGTTTTGCTTCTGCTTTTTCCATTAAAGGGGTGTTTGCTTTTACAGTACCTCAAGTGCCCTGTGATAAGGCTGGTTCCAGGATTTGTTATCTCATTCCCAGAGCCTGAGCCCACACAAACAGAGCAGAACCTGCTTTTCCTGGGCTGGCCGAGTGCAGGTGTGCGAGCACGGTGCCTGTGGTGTCTGGAACTGCTGAGGCTGCTCTGCCTCTTCCAATTCCTCATCCTGGCCACCAACCCCACCAACCGTGCTTGATGTTGAGCCAGGACAACCCACAGCGCTCTTCCTCTCGTCCTGATGCTCTTCAACCTGACAAAATTAATTACAAATCACCTAACGAGCTCCCGCGCGATCCGCCGAGGCTTCTCCGGTGCTGCCCGCTCAGGCCGCCCTTTTCTCCTGGTTTAGGGGATTCTTTTGGGTGCAGAGCTCAGCAGGGCCCTGCTGTGTCCCTGCTGTGTCCCTGCTGAGGGGGGTTTGTTGTTTCCTGCAGGAATGACGACGACGCCGGCCCCGTCCCAGCACCGCCAGCCCAGCGTCAGCCCCCTGTCCTTGGGCGCGGACTCGCGGCGACCTCAGTCCCAGCAAATGTCCCCCACGCTGTCCCCACTGTCACCCATCACTCAGGTAGGAGCTCAGAGGCTTTCTAATCACAGCCTCGTTGGTTTAATCTGCTTAATCAAAGAGCCACAGGGATATTGGGAAGGAATTCCTGGCTGGGAGGGTGGGTGGGAATGGGATGGAATTCCCAGAGAAGCTGTGGCTGCTCCATCCCTGGAAGTGCCCAAGGCCAGGCTGGGCTGGGCTTGGAGCAGCCTGGGAGAGTAAAAAGTGTCCCTGCCCATGGGACAAGATGAGCTTTAAGGTCCTTTCCAGCCCAAACCATGATTCCATGAACTTCCATCTCCTGTTCTGTAATTTCCTCCTTTAAAGGTGTTCCCTAATTGAGAGCCTGAAAACAGGAGAGGTTTGTAGAGGGGACAGATTTTACTTCCTCTTTTCTAGAGCTGTGATAAAAACCATCTCTTAGACCACATTTTTTTGTGTTGTCCCAAAGTGAGCTGTGAAATTTGAAAGCCATTTCTCTAATTTGTGACACAAACTCAATTAACTTTTAAAATCGATTTTATTGTGGCTCTGTGACTGCCCACGTTGGTGATTTCTGACCTTGAGATTCAACTGGCTTTTAAAATATTGGTTTATACAGGATGGTTTGGCTTGGAGGGAACCTTAAACCTCATCCAATGCACCCCTGCCAGGGACAGGAACATCTCAGAGCAGCTTCTTGACTCTCTGAACCTTTAGGTGCCATTTTTCCACCACCAACCAAGCCTGACTCCATTCTCTTGGTGTGAAGAGGAATCTCCTTCCACCGTGGCTGATCTTCTCCCTCTTTTGCAGGCCGTGGCCATGGATGCATTGTCCCTGGAGCAGCAGCTCCCCCCGTACCCCTTTTTCACCCAGACCAGCTCCCAGCAGCAGCAGCAGCCAGCAGTGGCCAGTTCCCTGCCCCAGACCCCCCCTCTGCTGCAGAGCTCGGGGCTGCAGAGGGGCCCCCAGCTCCCCCCTCTGTCTGTCACGGTACCTTCCACCATCCCCCAGTCACCTCCAGGGAACCAGAGCCAGCCCTCCATGGGAATTGACATCAACTCGGTGAGTTTGGGAAGGGCTTGCCTTGGGAAGAGCTGGGAATGGGCAGTGTGGGCTGGGAAATCAGCCTGGATAACCCCCAAATCGTGAGGATTTCAGGGAGGCTTGAAGTAAACTTCAAATGGTTTTGGTTAAATGAACATTTAAGTGTTTTCTAGAGGGAAATTTTTCTTAGATTTTGTCCCAGGTTTGATTAAACCCAGCTTAAATCTATCAGTGTTTACTGGGAGATTTTCAGGGTGTTCAGTGTCCCCCCAACACATCGTGATACAGACTGGGGGAACTCCCAGAGCCTTGAGAGGGAGTCCACCCATAACAACCATTTCCCAATAAAATACCATCTGGAGAATTTGCTTCCCAAAAGTTGTCTAGAGCCAGGTGTTCTCTGCAGTTTCACTACTTAGAACCCTTTCATTTTGAGGAATTTTAGAGCATGTATTCCAAAATGGGATTTGTGCCTGCCTCCAGTGCCCAGAAGAATTGGAGCAAGGATTTATGGACAGATCCCTTTTCCTGCTTGTAGGAAAGCAGCTGAAAATCCCAGATCAGGAATCACAGGCCAGGAAAGAAGGGAAGTCCCAGCTCCCCCAGCCCTCCTGCCCTGGGGGGTCCTGGGTGTCCCACCCGTGGTGTCCTGGCAGTGCTGCAGTGACAGGAATGGCTTTGGGAATGAAACAAATCAATTCTGCTGATCTGCACTGGGTTGTGGATGAAAGTTTTAACAGTTGGTGCTCCTTGAGAGCAGCTGCTTCCCTTCCAGGGTGGGAAGGGGAAGAGGGAAGGACAATCCAGCAGTGGAAAGGATCCCACCCCACTCAAATCGTGTCCCTGTTTTGATTCTAATCCTCATGTAGCACCAGCACAGACAATTCTGATCTCATCCTTTGCTTTCTGTGTTGCTTTCCTCATCCTAAACCTCTTTATGACCTGAACTTTTAGGCTGCTGTGTTTATCTTCTAAAGCAACTCAAGTAATTCCTAAATAAACAGATTTAAAGCCACTTCATCAAAAAGCCTTTGGAGCTGTCACAGCCTTGCTGGCAACTTCTGCACAGGTTTTGTAAAGCAGAATTGAAATTTATTTGTAGGCTGTACAACCTTCTGACAGGTTGTAAGTGGCAATGCAGAGCAAAAATAAATTTTCTCGGGATTTACAGAATTTGGGGTCAAAACTTGGCAGTGCAGAGTTCTCCCACACTGCAAATCTGGTTAAATTCACTGGGTTGCAGGTTCTCCTCAATCATCCCTTAATTTCTAATGGAAGTAAAATAAGAAGAGCTGGGCTACTCTTGATGTTAATTAGTGCAGCATTATTTAAATCCCGTTAATATTATTAATCTGTTCCAAACCAGGGTTCTTTATGATGGGAAAAAAAATCTTTGAAAATAACTTCTCAAGACAGCTGAGAAGAGTACAAAAATCCCATCTACAAGCCTGCAGAACACAGTGTGGATTCCCTGAGGGTGCCTGCTCCATGTCCTGGGGTGCAGTGGAGTTTGGGGCTGTGTAGGGACAGGTTTGGAGCCAGGTTTATCCTTGAGCTGTTCTCACCTGCACTGTGCTGATAACACAGCTGGAGGCAGAGCAGCATCCCAGTGAACACACCCGTGGGGCTGGCACTGCAACTGAAGCATGAATGACATTCTTCTTGAATTATTCCCAGCTTCCAAGACTTCTTTGCCCTAAATCCTTGGCTGACCTGATTTTTGAACATATTTTGAACCGAGCATAAGTGAGAACAGGCAGGAAATGCTCCCAGCTGTGCCTGCCCCTGCCCTGGGGCTGTCCCAGAGCTCTCCCCACATTTTGGGGACCTCATTCACATAACCCTGTCTTCCCACACAGAACCTGAAGAGGATGGTTTCTCCCACCAGTGCAGAAGCTGTTGGTATTTTGCAGGGCTGCCTCAGTGGCACGGTGTTTAATTCTGTGTTGTTCTGTAGGCCTCACTCCAGCAGTACCGCAGTAATGCTGGCTCCCCAGCCAACCAGTCTCCCACCTCTCCTGTCTCCAATCAAGGCTTCTCTCCTGGCAGCTCCCCTCAAGTAAGGGACTCTGTGCTTCCACAGGCCTTGCTTCTCGTGTGTGTTTTGAGCTGGATTTCTCCATCACTGCCCCATAGTTGTCTCACTGTGACTCCGTGTGTGCCTCATGCATCACCGACGTCCCATCTCGGCCGCCCCTCCATCCCCACTCCCACAGGCCTTCAGGAGCTGCTGAACTGCCTTTTGTAGTGAGCAGAGAAGCACAGGATCAGGCTGCTGCTGGAACACTGGGGTGCTGTTTGTTTGGGGGGCAGAACCCCCAGGTAGAACCCTTTCAATTGCCAGGATCCCAGGGGAGCTGATGGGTGTGAGGTTGGGAGGGCAAGAAAGGGGGAATTTCAGTGCCTCCTGCAGCAGGAAAACTCCTGGGCATGAAATATTTAAATATTTACACTAAAAATCCCAAACTGATTTAGATCAGGACCTTTTTTATGTGAGAACACACCCAGTGAGAGAAAACACTGGAGAAAATGCTCTTAAAATGAGCAGCTTGTGGCTGGCAGGGATTGGGTTCCCAGCACACTCCCTTGCATGCCAGCTGCTTTTCCTTGCTCTGCCTGTATCTCCTCACACATCCACATGTCCTGGATGGAAATCACAACTTGGGGGAGTGTGTGATCCTCTGAAGGGGAGATTCTTACCTGCCAGCAGCAAGAAATTAAAACCAGGCAAAATTTGAGGGTGCCCCAATGTAAGAAAGTGCATTTTCAGTGCCTGATGCTGCTGAAAGAGCCCCAGCTGGCTGCTCTGGAGAATCCCACCTGGAGAAAAGAAGTGCAGGGAATTCTTCCAGAGCATCACAAGAGTCTGAAAATCCATTTTCTGTTTCATCACTGAACATTGAAGGCTGTAAAGAGGATCCTTTCTAAATAAGTGCTGCCCCTTCATGGTTGCCAGGCAGAAGCTCCTTCATTAGCCAGGTCATGGTAAGCTCAGCCCTGGATCCGAGTGGCAGGAATTGTCTGCATTTCCTTAACCCTGCCTTAATTTGCTTCTTAACCTCTCTCTTCTGCCTGCTTCTGTTGAGTTCTGCTGTGCTCTGTGTGCCTCCAAAAACCAGCACTGTCCCCTAGAGCAGAGCATGCTGCAAACTCTCAGTTCTCACTGGACAGCACGTCCAAATTTGGGGTTTATGTTGATTTTTTTTTTCCCCCCCTTTGATTTCTCAATCACTCTGGCTTGGTTTTGTCCCCACTGGTCAGTGCACAGAGGACCAGAGCACACACTGGGTTATGATTTTTCCTGCTGGTTTTATCCTGTAAAAATTTTGCTCTGTTTGACAGGGACACCACAAGTCTGAGTGGAAGGCAGAGGATTTATTAATTCTGCTCTCTGTAGTTTTGGCCTCTTAAATACCCACAGAATTCCTTAGTTTTGCTAAATTAAAACCGAGGTGGATTCGGTGCCTCCAGGAATGGCCCAAAAGCTGGTGATGGTCACAAACATGAAACGTGGAGAGAAGAAAAACCAGCGTGGAGGGGAAGCTGGGGTTGGTTGTGGAGATGGGGGCAGCTGCAGGCAGCAGAATCCCTTAATCTGCCCAGAGTGAGGCACAACCCTTCCAACAGCAGAGTGTCCCATTGAGGAGCAGCCTGGCACTGCTGAGTGGGATGCAGGTGCCTCCACGTGCTCCTCTTCCTCCCGTGGATTTGGGGTTTCACCCCCACAGTGCCAAAGGACATTGCCTAAACCACAAACCCAGGCTTTGATTTGTGTCCCACATCCACCCCAGGTTCTCCTCCATGCTCCCACCTCTCCCCAGCCCCGTGCTCCCCTGTCCCAGCCGTGTGTGTGTGTGTCCCACCAGTGCTCCCAGTGCCCACAGGGATGGATGGAGAGCTCTGCCTGCCCCCAGCTCTGTGTTTGCATGGCTTCCACCCCAGTGCCTGGGCTCTGCTTCCCTGCTCTCACCCTCATTCCCGTTGCAGTCAGACACAAACATTCCTGCTCTAGTGGCTCTGACCTGGAGAACCTGGTAGGTATTCTGAGATGGATCATCCCAGCCAGGGATTTGTGCTTTGGGGTTGGTTTTTCCTCACAGTCGCTCCGTGAACCCCAGAAGATGCTCTGCTGACTCTCCAGTGGTTCTGGAGGTGGTGTTTGCACAGTGTCGTCCCTGGAGTTGTTGATAAATTATTTTGAGGCTGTGAAGTGTTGAAGGAATGACATTTCCAGTGGGAATTTCGGGTTTCCTTTGGGAATTTCTGTGCTTGCAGCTGTAGGAACCAGCACACCTCACAAGAGGAGCAAAGCCAGGCTGGGCTTGGGTGGGAGGCTCTGCCCTGGACTTGGACAAGCACATTCTGCTCTCCTTTTAACTACTTATTGTGTTCCCCAAAGTTTTTTGGGATAGAAACAGTGCTTGGAGAAACACAGAGATTTTAGGGATTGTCCTCATTTTGGGAATTGTCCTCTCATTCCTGTTCTGTGGAATGAAACCACGGGAGTGAAAGGGACAAAATACCTTGATCCTCCTTGGAGCTCTCAAATATTCATTGGATTTTAGTGTTGCTTTTTCTTCCTGTCAAGTCTGTGCCATCCCAAAATTCACATTTTCCTTGGAAATGGTTGTAAACCATAGGTTGGACTGGATTTAGGTTGGTTAAAAAAATCTTAGGTTGGATTTAGGTTGGTTGGGTGCTTTGATTTTCTCTTACCAGCATCTTAGCAGTGGCTCTTGTGGTGTTTGATCCCTCCTGGTGTTTGATCCCTTTTTCCTGGCATCCAGCAGCTCTGGAGTGTCGATGACCAGGTGATAAATTGGAAATTTAATTGGAAATTTCAGCCCTTTCCCAGTTCTGGCTGCACATGGGGCAGGGATTGTTGGGAGGTCTGGCTGTGACAGACCATGGATGCTCAGGAAAGGCAATCCCAAATCTCTTCTCCAAGTGCATCCAAACCATCCCAGCCTGGAGCAGCCCTGGGGCCAAGCAGGATCTGCTCAGCCAAGGTGCAATTCAGGTGATTTTTGAATTATTTTTTCCTACAAGGTGGTTTTTTTTTTTTTGAGGGTCTAAAATCCGTGCCTCTTCTGATTCTTCCTTAATTTTTCCTGCTTAGGTTTTTAAGGAGGAAATTTCTGGCCTTCTGCTTTTGCCATGTGCATAAACCAGCAGCTGAATTTTGTTTTCCAAGATTGAGACAACCACTCTGTGAAAATTGTCTTTTAGAGACAATTTTTTCTCTTTGTCAGTAATTGGTTTTTATTTTCAGCTGGAATATCAGAATTTAGAATTTAAAATCAGGAGTGATGTTGATTTTTATCTGGCATTTTTGATCAGGATTAAAACATGGACCTCAAATTCTTGGTCACCTTGGTCTCCTCCGTGAGGGGCCTGTGGGGTCCTGGGGATTCCCTCCAGCTCTGTGAGGATGCTGTGGGATCTTCATGGTCCTGGGGACTCCTCCTGCTCCTTGAGGGTCCTGTGGGATTCCCTCCTGCTCCCTGTGGATCCTGTGGGATCTTCATGATCCTGTGGGATTCCCTCCTGCTCTTTGTTGGCCCTGTGGGATCCTCTGGGCCCTGTTGGGATCCTCTGGGTCTGGAGGAATTCCTGCCTGCTCCGTATGGATCCCCTGGGCCCTGTGGGATTCCCTCCTGCTCTTTGTTGGCCCTGTGGGATCCTCTGGGCCCTGTTGGGATCCTCTGGGTCTGGAGGAATTCCTGCCTGCTCCATTCGGATCCTCTGGGCCCTGTTGGATTCCCTCCTGCTCCCTGTGGGATCCTGTGGGATCCCCTGGGCCCTGAGGGATCCCCTGGGCCCTGTTGGATTCCCTCCTGCTCCCTGTGGATCCTGTGGGATCCCCTGGGCCCTGTGGATTCCCTCCTGCTCCCTGTGGATCCCATAGGCCCCGTGATGGCCCCATGAGGGCCCCGGGCGAATCCCGCCCGCTCCCTGCCGATTTCTCAGAATTCCCAGTTTTCTCTGGCATTCCCGGATTTCTCAGAATGGATTCCCTCCTGCTCCCTGTGGATCCTGTGGGATCCCCTGGGCCCTGCTGGATTCCCTCCTGCTCCCTGTGGATCCCATTGGCCCCATGAGGGCCCCGGGCGATTCCCGCCTGCTCCCTGCCGATTTCTCAGAATTCCCGGATTTCTCTGAATTCCCGGATTTCTCTGGCATTCCCGGATTTCTCCGGCACTCCCAGATTTCTCCGGCACTCCCGCTTCTCTCCATAATCCCCAGATTTCTCCGGCATTCCCAGATTTCTCGGCCTTCCCGGATTTCTCTGGAATTCCCGCTTTCCCCGTGGCTGCCGGGCGGGCCGGGGGCAGTGGGGGTTGTGCACCATGAAGCCTCTGTTTTGTTTTCAGCATTCTTCCATGCTGGGCAGTGTTTTTGGGGACTCCTATTATGAGCAGCAGATGACAGCTAGGCAGGCTAATGCCCTCTCCCACCAGGTGAGCAAATTCATCTCGGGCCTCCTCGGCCTCTCCCCCGCCTCAAATTAATCCCAATTAACTCCTAATTAATTTACGTCACGTCCCCGTTTCGTCCATGTAGAGTTTTCCTGCTTTTTCGTTCGTTTCTTGTTTTGTTTGGTTTCCCTGCCCTCCGCTCCTCTCTTACTCTTTGTTCTCCCCATCCCACGTAGGTTCTGCCAAAAAAATGGGAGATCAGTTAAAAATATATATAATAATTAAACTTTTAAAATGGGAGATCAATTTAAAAATATATAATAATTAAACTTTTAAAATGGGAGATCAATTAAATATATAGATAATAATTAAACTTTTAAAATGGGAGATCAATTAAAAAGTAAATAATAATCAAGCTTGTAAAATGGGAGATCAATTTAAAAAATGCATAATAATCAAGCTGTTAAAATGGGAGATCAGTTAAAAATATGTATAATAATTAAACTTTTAAAATGGGAGATCAATTAAAAATATATAATAATGAAGCTTTTGGGATCCTCTATCATATAATAATTAAACTTTTAAAATGTTTTAAAATGGGAGATAAATTAAAAAATGTGTAATAATCAAGCTTTTAAAATTGGAGATTGGTAAAAAAATATATAATAATCAAGCTTTTAAAATAGGAGATCAATTAAAAATATATAATAATGAAGCTTATAAAATTGGAGATCAATTAAAAATGTATAATAATGAAGCTTTTAAAATGGGAGATAAATTAAAAAATGTGTAATAATCAAGCTTTTAAAATTGGAGATCAATTAAAAAAATATAATAATGAAGCTTTTAAAATTGGAGTTCAATTAAATATATATAAAGTAATGAGGCTTTTTAAATGGGAGATCAATTAAAAATATAATAATCAAGCTTTTAAAATGAAACATCATGGGAATACCTTGCTGAGTAAAAATAATTCAATATTTCAAGCTCCACGTTTCTGGCTGGAGTTGCAGTTGGGAAGGATTCCCTTGTGGGTGATGTCAGGATTGACTCAGGAATTTGGGAATAATCCATGGCTGGTTTCATTTGGGAATAACCAGACCCTCCCTTGGTTTGGCCAACCAGAGCATGGATGAATTAAATGATTGAATTAAATTAATTAAATTATGGAATTCTTAAACTGGAGTGTGTCCTGGAGGGAATTCTGCTGGGCAGGGACATCAGGCTGAGCTTGAATTCCCTTTATTCCCCTTTCCACCCTCCACCAGAGCATGGATGAATTAAATTCTGGAATTAAATTAATTAAATTATGCAATTCCTGAACTGGGATGAATCCTGGCAGGAATTCTGCTGGGCAGAGACCTCAGGGTGAGCCTGAATTCCCTTTATTTCCCTTTAAGTCCTCCACCAGATCATGGATTAATTAAATTATTGAATTTAATTCTGGAATTAAATTAATTAAATTATGCAATTCCTGAACTGGGATGAATCCTGGCAGGAATTCTGCTGGGCAGAGACCTCAGGGCTACCTGAATTCCCTTTATTTCCCTTTTAATCTGCCACCAGAGCATGGATGAATTGCAGAGACGAATTTAATTCTGGAATTAAATTAATTAAATTATGGAATTCTTAAACTGGGATGAATCCTGGCAGGAATTCTGCTGGGCAGAGACCTCAGGGCTACCTGAATTCCCTTTATTCCCCTTTCCACCCTCCCTTTTCTGTCCCCCTGTCCCCAGTTTGGTGCCTCCCTCTCCCGAATTGGGCAGGGACTGTCCCGTGCAGCTCAGGGCGCAGAGCCCCTTTTTGAGCAAGGAAAGATGAATTTGTTTGCCTGTCTGTGTGTCCTGGAGCCGTGTCCTTGTCCCCCTGTGTCCCTGTCCCTGCTGGGCTGGCAGTTAACCCCCGTGGTGTCGCTCTGCAGCTGGAGCAGTTCAACATGATCGAGAACGCCATCAGCTCCAACAGCCTGTACAGCCCCTGCTCCACCCTCAACTACTCGCAGGCTGCCATGATGGGACTGACGGGCAGCCACGGCAGCCTGCAGGACTCCCAGCAGCTCAACTACTCCAGCCACGGCAACATCCCCAACATCATCCTGACAGGTACGTCATGCCCCTGGGGACGGCCCATCATCATCCTGGCAGGTACATAAATCCCCGGGGGACAGCCCCAACATCATCCTGACAGGTACGTCATGCCCCTGGGGACGGCCCATCATCATCCTGGCAGGTACATAAATCCAAATAAATCCCCCTGGGACAGCCCCAACATCATCCTGGCAGGTAAATAAATCCAAATAAATCCCCCTGGGACAGCCCTGCCCTGGGGTCTGCCCCTCTCAGAGCCCTGAGCAGCTCCTCAGGGGTGGCCCCAGCCCTGCAGAGCTGCAGGAGAGTTTGGACAGGCTCTGGGACAGGCTGGGCTTTTGGGGTGTCTGTGCAGGGCCTGCAGCTGGATCCATGATCCCTGGGAGTCCCTCCCAGCTCAGGATGTTTCATCATTCCATGGTTCTGGACTTGGGGTTTCTCTCAGGGATTGTTGCTGTTGAGGGGTTTGTTTCACCTGGCTGTGGTGATAAACAGGTCACTTTCCCAGGTATCATCCTTTGGAAGTTGTGAGAATGCTCAGAGAAAGAATTAAAACAATTCTTACCTTCATCTCTGCACCTGGTGTTTGTGACCACGTGGAATGTTTGCACGTGGTGTTTATGGACAGGCATTTACAAAAAGGTGTTGTTCCTACTTAGCCAGTGGTGTGAGGGGTGTTGTTCAAGGACCAATCAGACTCTGAGTGAATGATCCTGTCTATAAATATGTAAAATTCCTAATAAATCTCACTTCGTGTCTTCTGAGCATTGGAGTCAATGTCCCCTTCCTTCAGCCATTCCCAACTCCAGGTGTGTGTCCCAGGGCTCACCTGCACACAGGTAGAGCCCCAGCCTTCCTGTGCATTCACCCTGCCTCTGAACTCCCTGGATCCTCTGCTGGAGTGAGGAAAAGCTGTGGCAGCCAAGCTCCTTCCCCTGCTCAGCCCCAGCTGGCCAGGACAGGGTTGGAGTGTCACATATGGTGGCCAGTCTGGTCACAGTGGGATTTTGGAAACAATCCCTGCCCAGGGATCCCGTGGCTGCAGCCAGGGATTGCTGATGGGAATGGTGGAAATTGAGGTTACTCCTCTTAAAGCTGAGGGAGAGAAAAGGCTCCAGTCACGCCAAACAAGAATTTTGGGTGGTGTTTGATGGCTTGGAGGTGCTGTGAGGAATCTGAAATCTGAAGGAGGGTGGATGTTCCTCATCTGAGAGCTCCATAAACATTTCCAGGGTTTTTGGGAGCTGTTTCCCGACTTCCACGCTGGTGTTTGACCCCTGTGTGTTTTGTCCCCTGCAGTGACAGGAGAATCCCCCCCCAGCTTATCAAAAGAACTGACCAGCTCCTTGGCAGGAGTGGGGGACGTCAGCTTCGACACGGATTCCCAGTTCCCTCTGGATGAACTCAAAATTGACCCTTTGACCCTGGATGGACTGCACATGCTCAACGACCCCGACATGGTCCTCACCGACCCCGCCACAGAGGACACGTTCCGCATGGACCGGCTGTGACCCGCAGGACCCGCCCGAGCTGCATCCCTTCCTGGAGCTCCATCCCTTCCTGGAGTTCCATCCCTTCCTGGAGCTCCATCCCTTCCCGGAGGGTCCATCCCTTCCTGGAGGATCCACCCCATCCCGGAGCTGCATCCCATCCTGGAGGGTCCATCCCGTCCTGGAGGGTCTGTCCCATCCTGGAAGATCCATCCTGGAGGGTCCATCCCTTCCTGGAGGGTCCATCCCGTCCTGGAAGATCCATCCTGGAGGGCTCATCCCATCCTGGAGGGTCCATCCCACTGCGGATGTCCATCCTGGAGGGAGCAGCTCTCCGTGTCCCCTGTACAATGAGTAACCAGAGCTTGTTGTCCTGAGCTTGCCGCGCTGCCGAGCCCCGTCCCCGTGGCCCAGCCGTGTCGCCCCCGAGCCGCTCGTTGCCGTCCAGCAGTCAGGAGTTGTCCGGTTTTTCCCGGTGGTTTTTCCCGGTTTGCCGTCGGCCTGTCCCTCCCCAGAGCCCCCCTTTGCCCCGGGTGGGACCTTGTCCCCGTCCCCGAGCACCAGAGACGGGCTGGGGGCAGCTCAGCGGGGCTGGCACAGCCCGGACGGGGCTTGGCGAGCGAATCCCTGCCATGCCACCTCGCCCTGGAGCTGGCACTGCCTCGTGCCACTGTCACCCCTCCAGGTGCCCTGCTTGTCCCCAGGTGTGTCCCCAACCCCGTGTCCCTCCCTCCTGCCCCAGCAATCCCGGCAAAGCCGCCAGGCCCAAAAATCCACTTCAAACACTATTTCTTTCCAAGCTTTTTACGGTTTGTTTTGTTTTGTCTTTTTTTTTTTTTTAATATATATGTAATATATATCTATTTCTATATATGGCTACATATATAGAGAGCATTTCTGAGCACACATGAAAGTTCTATAATTCATTACTTGATTAGACAGAGGATCAGAACATCTTAAAGCAGCTAAAAAAAAAAATAGAGACTAACCTGCATAATCCTAATTTTTACCTTGTGAGAGATTCCTGGGCAACAGGAAGGGCATTTCCATAGCAATGCCAGGCTCGTAGAATCATGATTTTTTAATTTTTTATTCGTATTCATTACTTATTCTGTTACTTATTTATGATTTTTTTTGGTTGTTGTTGTTGTCATTTATTTTTTTTAATTTTATTTAAATATTTTGATATTAGGAAAGTAGCTCAACTACATACAGCCAATGGAAGCACTCTACATAATATTTGTACAGTACATTTTTTTTTTTTTTGTGGTTTTATTCCAGAAATATATTATATATATTATATATGTAGGTATTTTTAAACTAACTGGAATTTTAAACAGATGTTAAGCAGGAATAAGGAAGCCTAAGGCAAGTTTAGATATTTTCCTTTGGAATAGGCAAAATAGGGTGGTTGGAACTTCAAAATTCCTTCATTCACCCGGGGGTGGAATAGGCAAAATAGGGTGGCAAGTTTAGATATTTTCCTTTGGAATAGGCAAAATAGGGTGGTTGGAACTTAAAAATTCCTTCATTCACCCAGGGGAAAAAAAAAAAATCTCTTGCTCCACAATGACCAGGATTGAATCCTCCAAAATTCTGTTTAATTAAATGGAGAATTGATTATTTCTGATGGTCCTTGTGAATATTTTGTGCTGCAAATTAAAAAAAGAAAATCCCACCCAGATTCCTCAGGCTGGGAATTGGGGGTTTGGCTCTGGCTGAGGGAGGTGATTCCCACATTTCTGGGATTTAAAGGGCACTGCTGGAACACCCTCATTCCGCTGCGATCTGCACGGGGAGAGGCAGGAATTCATCAGGAGTGAACAGGATTTGGAGTCATTAACTAATTAACTAATTAACTCACGCCGAGGCTGAGCTGCTCCTGGCGAGGGAGGCGCCTCCAGCCTGGGCTGGGAGCAGCCCCTGGATTCCAGTCCCTGGGATCCCCTCCCGGCTGGAGGGGGGCTTTGTTCCCCCCCCCCGGGCTTTGTTCACCCCCCCTGGGCTTTGTTCCCCCCCTGGGCTTTGTTCCCCCCCGGGTTTTGTTCCCCCCTCCTGCCCCTCCTGGATTTTTTCTGCCTCCAGCCCAAGGAATTCCCAATCCTGGCACTCCCAACCCCAAACCTTCTCCTCTTTGGGAATCTCTTAACGAGTTGCCCCGCAATTAATGAGAGTCCCCCTGCAATTAACGACTCCTCTCTGCTCTCCTGAGTTCTCCTAATGAGTTATACCAAGTTTCTGTGTGCTTCCAGAAATCCAGGGCTGCCCTGCTGGGATTCCAGGGTCAGGATCCCCCGGGCATCCCCTCACCTTCTGTGCCATTTGTTGACCATTTGCACTAAAATTGTGGAATTTTTTTCTTGGCTTCCCTGTGTCTTTTTTATTTCTTTGTTGTTTTTTGTTTTGTTTTGTTTTGTTTTCATTTTATCCTTCTCCACACCCTCCAGAGGTTTCCCTGCATCTCTTGGGAACGTTTTGGGATTTTTTTTGGCAGGGTGGGAGCTGGGGTTGCTCTCGGGAGGGAGCCCCTGCCTGGGTTTTTAACTCCGTGTGTAAATAAGAGCTCTTTGTTCCTTAGACTTGTAAGCAGACCTTGAAAATCGCCTTAATTTCAAACTTAACACACCTTGGATGCAACTGTCACAGTTAGGGACCCTCCAGCTGGGAGAAATCCAGCTTTAATCCCTCGGGAGGGGGGAAGGAGCAGGGATGTCCCCGTGGGAATGCTGGGTGTGACAGGATGGGCTCCAGCTGTGGCCAGGGAGAAGCTGCTTCTCATCCCGGGAATTGCAGCAGCTCCTGCCTCTCCCTTCCCCCAGGGGAACCTTTCATGTGGGAGCTGCCCCAGAGGATTCCCCCTTTCTCACTCCTTCAAATTCCACTTTTTGTGGCATCGGGCTGATCTGGAAGCAAACCCAGAGGAAAGGGTGGAGCGGATCCCGAGTGTTCCCAGAACAAATAATCTGCTTTTATTCCGAATGGAACAGCCCTGTGCTCATTTCAGTGGCTGGGGCTCCCTCCCCACGGGTGGGAGCAGAAAGGGAAAACCATCACTTAGCAAAAAAAAAAACAAAACAAAACAAAAAATTCAAGGAGAAAATGGTGTGAATTGCTGTTATTGCTAAGTTTGATTTCCGTGCTGGTGAAGCTGTCTGGTGTCTCCAGGGGTGACTGTCCCACCCTCCCTCCTGATCCCCCCTCCCTCCGTGTTTTTCTATCTCCACAAGGAATTAACCCCGAATTCCCAAGCTAGACTGTTGCATTTGCCAATACAATGGGGAAGAGCAGGAATAAACCCTCGGTGCATCCAAAACTGTGATTTTTTTTTTATTTTTTTTTTTCTTTTCCAGCAGCCAGCCCAGCCCTGGCGCTGGGGGGGCTGGGGGAGGCTCCTTTCCCTGTACATAGATTCCCCCTGGGCATGCGTGACCCGGCCCGGCTCCCACGGCTTCTGCATGGCAGGGAGCGCTTGCCAGCCCCCCCTGAGCCCCCACGCACGGCCTGGGCTGGGCTCTGCCTCCCCCCGGGCTGATTTTTCATTTTCCAGAGGGGAAAACCTTCCCAGAAACGGCTGCGAATCTCCTCGGGAGCCCGCGGCCTCCGTGGAGGTTTCGTGGATGATTTTGGTGAACTCGTTTTTAGGAGCGCTCATGGGTGATCCTTCAGCTCAGAGTGGGGTTGGGTTTGATGGTCCTGGAGGTCTTTTCCAGCCTTGATTTGGTTGTTCCTTCCCAACCTTGATTCCAGAATTCTTTTCCGACCTTAATTTGGTTTTTCTTCTCCCGCTTTGATTTTCTGTTCCAACCCTAATTTGGTGATTCTTTTCCAAACTTGATTCAGGTTCTTTTCCAGCCTTAATTCGGTGATTCTTCTCCAACCCTGATTCAGTGGCTCTTTCCCAACCTCAATTCCACGATTCCAGGAGCAAAATCTACCCTGAGTTTATCTAAAAGCAGTTTACCTAAATTTCCCTCAAAAACGAACCCTCGGACCTAAAACCTTGGATTTCTGCCAAAACAACAATTAAGCCTTGAGCTTAATTTCCTTAATTCCCTTAAGGAAAGACCCTGGAAACCCCCTCTGGACAGGAAGGAAGCGGGAAGGCCCCTCCTCCCCCCGCAGATCCCGACCTTGGCTTGTTTTTTTTCGGGAGAAACCCCAAAACCAGCGCGTTTATTCCTCGGAGCAACGGCCCCCCCGTCACTGTGATGGCAATGTGAAAGCGCAGGTAGCCTTTGTTACGTGTGTCTGTCCTTTTTAAAAAACAACCAGGAAAAAGGAAAAAAAAACCCCAAAAAAAACAAAACCAAACCTCCCTTCCCTCTTAGAATTAAACTTTGTAGTGTTCCTGTTCTTTGTATTTTGAGTTGCATCTTATTTATACGGCGCAGTGTAGGCATGGATTGCATGTCGGTTTTCTATGCGGGCACCACGACATTCTGACTGTGTATTATAAATCATTTTTACCTTTTTAAACAGGGAAAAAAAAAAAACCAACAAAACAAAACAAAAAAAACAGCAACACAACAGAATCATTGTGTGGAATTTCTATACTGCAAAGCCAAACACTACATGGAGTCCTCTCTTGGTTTGTGTTATTTATTTTCCGAGGCGGTTGGGGCGGGCGGGGGGCGGGCGGAGCCGTGTGTGCGTTGCCTTATGTGGGCTTGACCAATTTTATCAAAATAAAGGCCTGAAGGGGTGAAAAAAACCGCTGGCTCTTGTCTTCAGGGGGGGTGGAGGGGTGGGGTGGGAAAAGCGTGGAAAAAAGGGAGAATCCTGTGGAAAAAAGGGAGAGAATCCCGTGGGAAAAGGGAGAGAATCCCATGGAAAAAAGGGAGAGAATCGCGTGGAAAAAAGGGAGAATCCCGTGGAAAAAAGGGAGAGAATCCCATGGGAAAAAGGGATAGAATCCCATAGAAAAAAGGGAGAATCCCGTGGAAAAAAGGGAGAGAATCCCATGGGAAAAAGGGAGAAAATTCCATGGAAAAAAGGGAGAGAATCCCGTGGGGAAAAGGGAGAATCCCGTGGAAAAAGGGGAGAGAATCCCGTGGAAAAAAGGGAGAGAATCCCATGGAAAAAAGGGAGAGAATCCCATGGAAAAAAGGGAGAGAATCCCGTGGAAAAAAGGGAGAATCGCGTGGAAAAAAGGAAGAGAATCCCTTGGAAAAAAGGGAGAGAATCC